TTTTGTGACTGATATCTTTTGTGAATACTTTTTGTCCTCATATAAATGATGGGTTTATCAGAGAAGGAATTATTTTGAGTTCCCTACAGAGTCTGGCCAAGTGATGGATGTAATAGGATCAGCTCCATGACTACCCGTGAAAAGACTCACAGTTAAGACTCATTGAGACCCAGCATCTAAAATCTTCTAAGATGCTAAATCACAAATCTGCCATTAGATGGCAGACAAACTCTATGATAAACAAAAATAGAAGCCTGATCTTGAAAATAGTGAGAAGTAAGAATGATAGTGTCCCATTGTCAACAGGCAGCCCCTAAGGGTAGAATGGGGTCTCATGTGTGACCTGGATCACTGGGAGGAGCTGCCCGGGTGCTGAGTAGTGAGAAACCCGCCTCCATGCTCTGTGCTCTCAGAGTGGAAGTCCAGCATTGTCCTCTCTCCTTCCTTGGCTGAGTCCTCAAAGCCCACCTGTTATAGACTGAATTGAGCCTCACAGATTGATATGTTGAAACTGCAACTCCCAATATGGCAGGATTTGAAGATAGAACCTCCAGGGGGTAATTAGGGTCAAATGAGCCGATAGGAGTAGGGCCCTAATTCAATGGCATTAGTGTTCTTATACAAAGAAACTCCATAGAGCTTTCCCCCAAACACCTCACCCCAAAAGCATGCACCCAGGAAAGGTCATGTGAGGACCTGGCCAGAAAGTCACATCTGAAAACCAGAGAGAAGGGCCTCAGCAGTAAGAAAACCCTTCTGGACCTTGATCTTGGAGTATCCAAGTTCCTAAACTGTTACAATAAATTCCTGCGATTTAAGCCATACAGGCTGGGGTATTTTAGTGTCATTGTCCCAGCAGACAAATCCACTGTCCCCACACTCTCTGAACAGAATCAGCCTCAGGAGGCACCTCATGGCCATGGGGCCTCAGCTTTGTTCTTATTCCTCCTGCTGTTCTGACTCTCTGGTGAGGAGGGAGGACTCAGGCTTTATCCTCAGTTTGCTTGCATTAAGCAGGAACATTTTCTTGACAACGCAGTGATTAGCCTCTTTAACTTTCTGATCAGAATTGCATCAATCTGAATAAGCTACTTGCTTATATTATTGTTTGGGGATGTCCATTTTTGCTCCCCACTTAGATGCAAGTTGCGAGGTCATTTGGTTCACATCTCCAGGCACCTTTCCTGTGTCTCAGGAGAGAGGGTCACTGTCACCTGCAGGAACAGCCAGAGTGTTAACAGTGTCCTATCCTGGGTCCATCAAATCCTAAGCCTGGCTCTGAGCTCCTATTAGCTCCTACTGCCTCCTGGACAGGGAGCGGTCCCAGGTGAGGGGTGATGGGCCTGGACAGACATCACCCTGGCCATCAGCAGTGAAGCTGCCTATAAGGGCATGTACCATTCCTACTGTCACTATTTGTGCACAAACTTCCCCCAAACTGTGGCTAACCTGAGGGCTGCTGAAGATTTTGGGCCTTCTTAGGGTAACAGATTGAAGGACAGCTCTGAACTCACACCACTCTCTTCCTCCTGCCGCCTTGCCTTCTTCTCTATTGGGCAACTGCAGTACATCTTGTCAGTATCGCTCAATGGAGAATGTCTGACTATGTTCTTCTAATTCCTACCCTGAATTTAAGGGTCCAAGTTATCCTCGCTTCAGACAGGAGACATAACATTTTCAGAGCTGTGACCCTTGTTTCTCTCACATCCTGGCCCAGTGATGAGCCTGTAATTCTGACTCTACTTCATGAGTCCTAGTGGAAGAGTCATAGTCAGAAAGGTGTGATTCTTGGAGACCAGAAAATGAAATAAAAAATATTCAGAAGGCTTTGCACGTGGCAGTCATGGCCCAATGTGAACAGAGTCCTAATAGCCTGAGGCATGAAGAGCAAGAACCAAAATAAGTGTTGTCCTCTCCTAACGTTTTGGTCCTGATATGTCCATGGCAGAGAAACTCAAACCATTTCAAGGGGTTAATGACATCTGCTCTCTTCTTGTCTCCATTTTTCTTTTTATACTTAAGCCTGTACCGTCTTCTTAATCTCCTATATTCTTCCCTCTTTCAAGGTCATGAAATTAGAATTGTAGCCAAAACAGAGATTAAAAACTGTGAGAAAGGACATAAAATTTGGGTATTGTATGCATCTCCTCAACAGCAACATGCTACATGGTGTTTGCTGGTTTCCTCTCCTTCTCAGGGCTTTTTTCTGGGAAGATGCTGACTGCACCAGCCAGGCTCCTGTCAGAAGTTATATTTGGAGGAATTACAAGGAAAATCTTCCAGGTAGTTAGCGCTGATTCTGGGAAGAGTAGCAGGAGCGTGGGTCTGGCTCACCAGCATTCAGGGTACTGGGGTAAGTCTTGGCAAAGACTGTAGGTATGCAAAGAAAGAATTTAGAACTCAGATCTTTGACCACAGCCTTAGGAGCCCAAGAGAGAACATTAACACAAATGGGGCCAGAGAAAACTAAGACTAAAGGTGGTATGGTCTACTGCAATCTTTTTTATCTTTTTATTGCTACACATAAATGGATTCGTGGAAGTTTTTATGGTGGAAACAATGCACATGAAATCCCACTGCTATATTGAAACATCTGCTAGTTCTAAGATAACTACTGAAGAATTTGATTTTAAAATGACAATAGCTAGAAATACATAGTCTGGTTATCCTATTTAAAGGTATATAGAAAGGGGATTGAGTGTATATGAATATATATATATACACACACACACACACACACACACACACACACATCCACTTGGGTGTACATACACACATGCACGTGTGCGCGCGCACACACACACACACACACCCCCCTGCACTTCAAAATGCATCATCTGTTAACCCTCATAACAGCCCATGTTATACAGAGTGCTCCATTTCACAGATGGGGAAACCAATGATCAGGCCTCTGTTATAGCTCAGAGCACAAACCTCAACAGCTGTTCCCCTAGAAGGCTGGGGATCCCAAATGCATGCTAGCCTGTGTAGATGTGTAGATGCTGTGGTTCTCAGAAGTGCTTCAGAAGGGTTTCTTGGATGGGAGGAATGAGGCTAGCTTGACAGATCCTCACCAGGAATCCTCTGCTTCCCACTCCAGCCCCTGACATTATGCCCTGCAGGGTCCCTCATGCCCCAACCTCTCTCTTCCAAAACCACATTTTTGCATGGATAAACATCTCACATGGATCAGAGTTACATGGACAGAAAGTTCGGGGCCTGGGATTCGAACCAAGATTTGCCTGATTACTATGTTCCTTCCACAAGACCATGTTCATCTCATAGATGAGCTCATGGCCTGTAATGAGAGAGAAAACCCATACGGGCGTTGTGAAAGCTTTAGTTCTCTGTTGCCTCTGTCTCACACCATGATGACCCTAATCTTAAACTAGTCCCATCTGCAGTTCTTTCCACAAAACACAACTATCAAAGCCCTTAAAAACTGTAAACAACTTTATTTTGGATTTGGGAGCAGGGATATATCTGGCATCTCCCTGACCTCCTCTACATCCCCTCTTCATCATCTGTTCTCTCAGACTCACTTTGCCCCTCTCAGATTGTGTCCTGAAAATCTAATTTGCCTTCCGAATATGAAATTAAATAATCCCTGCACCGCCGTTGTATCTTTGCGGCTGAACCCTGGACTCACAGACACTGAAATTGTATAAGAGCTAATCAAAGGATTTGGCCCAAGAGATTTTCTATCTTAGAAAAATTCTGGCACTACCTCCCCCACTTCCAATATAATGTTCTCCATCTCTTGTCACAATTGACACCAAATGACAACAAAATGGAGATATGTGGGAAAATAGAGGACAATCATGCACTCAGAAAGATAAAAGTCATCTCTTACGCTTGCATTAGTTTCCTGTTCCTGTAACAAATTGGTATGACCTTACTGGCTCCACAGAATACAAATTTATTATCTTACAGTTCTGGAGGTGAGAAGTCTCACTGAGCTAACATCAAGGAGTCAATAGGACTGTACTCCTTCTAGAGGCTCCAGGGGAGAAAATCTAATTTTCTGCTTTTCATCTTCAAGATATCCCAACATCCATGGCTCCATCATCTCTTCCTCCATTACTGCAACATCCTTCTCCACTGTCCCAGTTTCTCTCTGACAGACAAATGGGAAATAGATTCATCAGAACGCAGATGCTCCTCAACTTCTGCGGAGGTTGCCATCCATAAACCCATTGTAAGCTGAAACTACTGTAAGTCAAAAATGCATTTAAATCACCTAACCTGTTGAACATCATATCTTAGCCTCGCCTACCTTAAATGTGCTTAGAAGATACACATTCACCTACGGCCAAACATATCATCTAACACAAAGTTTATTTTTTAATAAAGTATTGACTATTTTATTTAATTCATTAAATATTCCACTGAAAGGGGAAACAGAATCATTTTATGAGTATTCAAAGTACAGTCAGTTTCTACTGAATGTGTATCAGTCTCACACCATTGTAAAGTCAAAAAGTGTTTAAGTACAATCATCACAAGTTGGTGACTGCCAGTAACTTCAAAAGGTAACTAAAAAGTAACTTTAAAAAGCTCGGAAAAATAAAACATTATCCAGACAGAGGTACAATAAGGTATTATCTAAAATGTATAATTTTCAGTAAACACACACACATACACACACACACACACAAACACCTGCAAAGAAATAGAAAAGAATGATCAATACTAGGGAAACAAAAACCAAAACAACTACCATTACAACAAAAAAAAGCTGGTGAAAGCTGACTCTCAACTGTGCTAAATTTTAACTTTAGCAAAGACTACAAAGCAGTTACTGTATAGATGTTCAAACAATTATTTTTAAAGCTACATTCAAAGACTCAAAAGAAAAATATATGGACAATGATTCAGCATGTAGACACTCTGTAAAAAAAAGAGAAAGTCTAAAAACCAAAGAGTTGCTAAGATAAATGACCAAATGAGAATTCTAGAAACCAAAAGTATAATAATTAAATTAAAAATGTATAAGATACGTGCTTGCTTCGGCAGTACATATACTAAAAGTGGAATGAGACGAAGAAGATTAGCTGGCGACTGCATAAGGATGACACACAAATCTATGAAGCATTCCGTATCTTTACTCTTAGCGGTGGATGACTTGGCTCATGCGTTGATGAAGAATGCAGCTAGAATGTGAATTGCAGGACACATTGACCATTGACACTTTGAATGCACTTGGATACCTGGAGCTCCAAAAAAAAATGTATTAGATAGGTTCTATATCATTCTCAGATGATAGAAGAACCAGTGAACTTGAAACTAAAGAAATAGAAATCCATAGAAATTCCTGAATCTAAAGAAAGAAAAAAAATTTAAGAACAAATGCATAAGACTTCAATTTACAGCACAAAGTGAAGAATGCCAACAAATGCATAATGAGAATCACAGAGGAGAAGAGAGAGAAAAAGTGGCTAAAGCAATATTTGGGAAAACAATGAGAGGAGTTTTCAAAACTAATGAAACACATTAGTCTACAGATAAAAGAAACTCAGTGAAACGCTTTTAGGATAAACATGGAGATTCATAAAGGAACACATTATAGTCAAAATTATTAGACACAGAGAGGAATTATTGAACTTATCAAAAAAAAAAAAAGCAAACTTTTCATTCAAGGAAACAGTAATGAAGCCAATGGTTAAGTTTCCATCAGCACCAACGGAGGCTAGAACACATTGGAATTACATATTTAAATGCAAAAGGGAAAAGAAGGCAACCAGAAATTCTGCATCCAGTGAGAACACAGTTGAAAACTAAAGCAATAAGAAAATATTCTTTGATAATCAGAATAAATGTGTTAATAGAAGCTAAGTTTTATAACAAATTCAAGATGCAATCCTTCAGACTCACAGGAAATGATAGCAGACAGGAACAGGAATCCACAGGAAGGAATGAAGAACTCAAAAGTAACAAAGAACAAGGCAAAAGCTAGAAGGGAAAAAAGACACAATACAATTTATATGAGGTTCAACACAGACAAGCCCGAATTATAGTGTTGCAGTGTTAGATGTCAGAATGACAGTTACCATGGTTGGGATGGGACGCAGTTACTGACTGGGAAGGCACATGAAGGAAGCACAGACTATGCAAAATATTCTATAGTTCCACCTTGAAAGTGAATATGCACAAACTTCATTCAGTTACCCACTTAATATTTGTGTCATTTACTGTGGGGATTTTAGCAACTAAAATGAAGCTAATTTTTAAAACCTAGATGGTAAAATAAATATAAAAATAATAAATACAAATAACTGGCCAGGTGCGGTGGCTCATGCCTGTAATCCCAGCACTTTGGGAGGCTGAGGCAAGAGTGTCACTTGAAGTCAGAAATTCAAGATCAGCTTGGCCAACATGGTGAAACTCTGTCTGTACTAAATATACAAAAATTAGCCAGGCGTGGTGGTGCATGCCAGTAATCCCAGCTAGCTGAGGGGGTGAAGCAGGAGAATAGCTTGAACCTGAGAGGCAGAGGCTGCAGTGAGCCGAGATCCTGCCACTGTACTCCAGTCTGGGTGACAGAGTGAATGAGACTCTGTCTCAAAAAATCTATATATATAAGTAAATTAATAATATATAATAAAATTTAAAACAATATATACAAAATAAAATTAAATAAATAATAACCAAATATTTATGGAAACTCAGTCTATTGAAGACAAGTGTAAAATGTGTCTGAGAAAATAAAAACAAATTCGAAATCTCTTTGAGGAAATAAAAGAACATGATTAAATATGTCCCTTTTTTCACTCAGGCAGCACAAACTTTATTAGGTTCTCTCCAAACACAGAGAACACATTATGTCACTGTGCTCACACTTGATGTCCCCATATTCTCTTTGTCTCTTTCCACCCCACTGCACCCACCAGGGGATTTGCATACTGTCCCATAGGGAGGACCTTCCCTCGAGAGTCTGAGATAAAAGCTCAGCTCTAAACTTGCCTTATGATCAGGACTCCTCAGCGCACCTTCTCACAATGAGGTTCCCTGCTCAGCTTCTGGGGCTGCTAATGCTCTGGGTCCCTGGTAAGGACAGAAGGGAGATGAGGGAGGAGAATGGGGTGGGAGGGTGAGCTCTGTAGGTCCCATTACCTGTCCACATGCACATCTTGACCTACAAGAAAAGGTGTATAAAGTTTAGAAGTGCAAGAGTGAAAAATAGAAGATTCCTCACTCTTATAGTTCTAAATTTCATATCCTAGAAGGAAAAAGGACTGGTGAGCTTGTGAAGAGTGTGACACAGGAAGAGGAGAGTAGTGTAGGCAACATCTTGAAGCTTCTTTGTGCCTTGTGAATGTTGTTTCTTTTTAAACCTGAATGTTTAGGGGTATGAACGAAAATCACACAAAAATTACTTAGCATAAATAACAGAAAGAATATCATTTTAATGGTTCACAATGTTTGTACATAACCTTGCACTTCTCTCACTATTTCAGGATCCAGCGGGGATATTGTGATGACCCAGACTCCACTCTCCCTGCCCGTCACCCTTGGAGAGCCGGCCTCCATCTCCTGCAGGTCTAGTCAAAGCCTCCTGTACAGTGATGGAAAAACCTACTTGAATTGGTACCTGCAGAAGCCAGGACGGTCTCCACAGCTACTGATTTATAGGGTTTCCAACCGTTTTGCTGGGGTCCCAGACAGGTTCAGTGGCAGTGGGTCAGGCACTGATTTCACACTGAAAATCAGCAGGGTGGAGGCTGAGGATATTGGGGTTTATTACTGCATGCAAACTCTAAAACATCCTCCCACAGTGGTACAACCCTGAACAGAAACCTCCCTTCTTACTGTGGTTCAGCTGCCCACATGTGTTTATCTGGAGGGCAGACACTGTAGATTATCTTGGGAGGCTAAAGAGGAAGGTGCTGGAGAAGCCAGGAGAATGCATTACAGCTGAGGGCTCTTAATCATCAATGTCTCAGTTACATCTCAGGT